ACAATCAAACCCATCTAAATTTCCACAATCATCACTATCACTATGTTTAGATTTATCGTCACAATCTCAATCACATTCATCATTAACATATCTCTAGCTAGTCCTACCATCAGCATTATCTTCTTGATTTCTTCTTCTCATCTAATCTTTAACTTCTTTATACATTCATAGGTCGGTCTCACTATAAAAAACATCGTCTTGGTATTCATCATTATCTTCAAAGTTGCTTAATCTCTTATCTTCCTCATCACCACTAGTACACTAACTATGATTCATATTTTCCTATCTAGTCCCACCGATAGCACGATCTTTCTTTTTCCTCATCTAATCTTTAACTTCTTCATGTATCCCTTGGCCATTCTCGGTGTAAAACAAATCTTTTTGGCACTCGTCATTACTTTTAAAATTTTTTTTAGTCTCTCATCTTCTTCATCATCACCTCTACATTAGCCATCATTATAATCTACATTCATATCAAAATACACATGATCTCCTTATTCTTTACCTTTAATGTTTTTTCCTTTACAATGTCATTCACCTTCATACTCGCCTTTATCTTTATATTGTCCTTCATCACCATCTCCCTCTTAGTCATTATAATCTTCTTTCATAACACTATCACTATTTGAAGAAAAATCCAAATCAAGTATACGAGCATCGATTCCATGTTCAACATACACTTCTAATATATTTATACGATGGAGATTCATATACAATATTATATTCTACAAATCATAATTATCATCCAGAACCATTAAGCTATTATCCATGTCCTTATTAGGGTACTTGCAATAAAGTTAGAGTAAGTTTAAATATCCAGTTAGATTCACATTGATTATAATATACTCGATTGATAGATTTTTATTTTGATAACATGATTAACCTTGACAAACTCTAATACTTAGTTTTTAGATGATATATGAATGTACTTTATAAAATATCTTCGATATTATCATCATTTTGTAATAACGGCACAAAACAAAGAATAGCCATATTAAAAACAAAACCTTAACTAATATAAACAAGAAAGTCACCAATAAGGTATTAAAGACAATAAAACGATCAACTAAACACCATATTATTTACACAATAAATAAAAATATATCATATATCACATTATAAACTCACTTGATAGAAAACTCAACTTCCATAACAAATCCTAAAACATGAAACGCTCACAAAACACTATTATTTTTTAAAGATATCACACACATGCAAAACTTATATAATATATGCACTTGTGAGGTTAGAATCCAAAATATTAAGCCTACATAAATGCCTTTTTGAGTTATAACTATAATGTTGTACCCAAAACTCAAAAAAAGGGCATGAAATCTTATAAAAAATAACAAAATAATTAAAAACATTGTAATCAAAGTCATTAACAACTAAACAAATAATTTTCAAACAATAATTGAGTTTTAAATAACCAACCTAAAAATTTTGCCAAAAATCCTCACCTATCAACCTTCTTAATGTTTCAAAATCACAAATTGTCGCACATATAAGGAAATGTCACTACTTCACGCACCTTGGAGATGGTGTGAAACACTCTATTCTTCTTTGAAAAACTCTCTCTCTCTCTCTCTCTCTCTCTTACACACACACACGGAGTTTCAATCGAAATATGTTATGTATTGATTTAGAGATTTTGAATTTTGATTAGGTTAGGGGACTTTTTTATCATTTAAATTTTATGAGTTGATTTGTGTCGGCTTACGTGTCTAGGAGTGTCTCTCTCAAGACACGTGTTGTTCTTTCAATAGATTATGTGACTCTTACATGCGATAAATTTAGTTTGTAATTAGTCAATAGGAAGGAAAAACTCAATTGCTAATAAAAAAGTTTGAGACGTAAATAAACAAAATTAAAGTTTCAAATAACTAATAGTTTAGAGTACTTGAGAATCAATTAGTCTTACTTAAATTATAATATAAAGATGATACAAAGATACTACATAAGAATGAAAGTGCCCTACCCAAAACTCGTAGTGTTCAAAGAATTGTTGTAGAATTGATGAATATCTCTTTGAAATTCTAGAATAATTAAAAATTATCCATAGCAGACTTCTAGTAATGAATCATTGTTTATTAATTTGAAACCAAACATGAGTTAATTATAAATTAGTTCCTCTAGCTTCAATGAATTAATTAGTCTTTTTTATTTTAAAAGTTAATTATTTAGTTTTTTTTTGGTGTTGACTACGTTTAATTTAATATTATTTTATTTCAAAATATATTTTTTTTCATCAATTTTTTCATGATATCTATTCTTTTCAACGATAACTAAAATAAATTAGAAAAGATGATAAAATAAACAAAAATGAATAAATAATTAGTTTTTAAAATAAGAAATACTAACTAATTTATTTCTCATAACTCGAAAAGACTAATCTATAATTTACTCCACCCAAAATTAGTTCAAATGTGGGTTTACCTCACATTTGGACCTTGTACAATTTCAATTTTTTTTATTGAGACTATGTATAATTTTTCTTTTGATTGAAACCTTCTACTATTTAAAAGTTTTTTATTCACACCCTCCGTTATGACACTCGTTAAAAGTAACCTATCGGTGATTGACACGTGATATCATGGGATTCAAATAACAGCTTTTCACGTCCGAATGAAAATTTTTTTTTTAACTAATTTTAACAATAAAATAATTCATACAATTAAAAAAGAGAAATATAGACCAAATCATCCCCAGTCCATTATTTCCTACTCTAATTATTTTTCTTTTAAAAAAACCGTTCTCTCTCTCCTTACCATTTCTTTTTTGCTTTCTTTTTCAAAAAATCCCCAATATTTCTTAAACATAGACACTAATTTCAACATCCATTTCACCATTTCCTTCCTCATTTTCACTCTCATTCATAAAATTCATCATAACTCAACTCGTTACCCAACCAAAAACAATTAAAACTTAAGTTTCATAATTTTCTCGAAAAACAACCGCAAGCTTGAAAACCCAATTTTTGTAAGTCAATCATTTCAATGACTTATACCAAGCAAACAACAAGAAAATCTACATAAGGGAAAGCCTCAAGAAAGCAACCGACCACTAAGACAATTGGGAAATCAACTCCAACTATCGGAGGAGTGATGAAGCCTCATTCTTTCGAGTTAAGAATAGTGGCCTTGACGTAAATCAAGAAATACTAGATCGAAGACCATTGAGCTATTGATAAAGAAATTATCTTTTTAAAGGCTTGCAAGAGACCCGGGAGAGGAGTGCAGTGGGTATTGATAGGAGACCCGGGAGCTAAAAAGCATGTTTATGTAGAGAAACTCTCGACACTTCTGAAGTTCCTCACATTTCCATGGGTACCCTTATTTGGCAAGAGCTTAACCCTAAATCTTCTTTCTATAAACAGATTGTGAATGTTGTGAATGAGAGAAAATTGATACCTAAAGATGTGATTTTTGGGTTGTTATCAAAGAAGGGTGAAGAGGGTTATTATAGAGGTGAAAATGGGTTTATTTTGGATGGAATACCATGAACGAGCATGCAAGCCGAGATTCTTGACCAAATTGTTGATATTGATCTCGGTTGTGAATTTTAAAAGTGGTGAAGGGAATTTGGTGAAAAGGAATTTTATAATTGCGGAAAATTTTATGAATAATCGGACCTTAAAATTTGAATCTAGGAAGGAGAGAGAGTGAGAAGAGATGACAGCTTTTTCTAAAGAAAAAATAATAAGGTTTGGAAATAATGGAGTGGGGTGATTTAGTCTTTTCCTCTCATTTTTTAATTTTATGAATTATTTTATTGATAAAATCAATTTAAATTATTATTTTTTCAGCTCGGACAATAAATTATTATTTAGGACTTATGATGTCACATGTCAATCACCGATAGGTTGTTTTTAACGACGTCATAACGAAGGGTTTGAATCAAAAAATTTCAAAGAGTTGAGGGTTTCAATCAAGTTAAAAAATTATAAAGGATCTCAATAAAAAAATTAAAATTATACGGGATCCAATTATGAGGTAAACCCCGATAAGAGGTTTTTTTCTTCTTCCGTGATTAAATATTTTTTTAACGTCCAATTGTGTTTAAATATTAATTGTTCTTATATAAGCTTTTAAATCAACATAATCATCTTTTTTTTTTTTTTTAACAATGACAATATCCTTTTCTAAATACATACAATAAGAGGTTGTCTTAACTTATTCAAAATTAAAATTCAATTTTATTACATATGGTGTCAGACTTGAGTTAATTTGGTTTAAGAAAAAGTTCAGTAGCCAATCAAAAAGTAAATAATTTTTTATATTATCTTAGTTCAGGAAATAATAAACTTAATTTTTATCCATGTAAAATCTGATTAGGGAAAATACTCTCTCTCTCTCTCTCTCTCTCTCGCACACACATATATATATATCGCTCGCGCGTGTCCATTTCTAAAACAATTTCCGACTTTGGCAGGTGCTAAGGGGCGGACCATTCCTTTCTTCTTCTACTATTTCTTTTCATATTTTTCCCTCTCTTTTCTCTCTCTCATTAATCTTAGACAGTAACTGTCCTTGAAGTCTCTCCACGAACTTTCTTCCCCTCTCAGTACGAATTTTCTGTCCAACCAAAACCATGAACTCTCTTTTCCTCATAAAGAACAGACCAACCCAATAACTAATCCAAAATACAAAGACCCCGGTGTCTTTTCGTTACAGTTTTACACACATCCTTTTCTTTTCGTTTAATTTGCTTTCAGAGAAATTATTGATCAAGAACCAAAAAAAAAACGGTTTTTTCACTTTGTACAAATAACCTGCCTTTGCTTTGGTGAGTTTTTTTTTTTGGTTCCTCTTTTTCGTTTCGGAAAATAGAACTGCACACGTGATTTGGATATATCATTATTCGCTTCTAAAAAATGTTCCCTCTTGTTTTCTTTTGGAACCGAACAGGTTTTGTTTATTTATTTTTATTTACTCATGTTTTTTTTTTTTGGCAGATTTGGTTTGTGAAGTCAGAGGAAGTCATATATAGTTGATCACGTTATGAATCTCAAAGAAAATAAATTTGTCAGGTTTGTTACGTAATTTTTTTATCCTAGCAACAACATATAGTATTGTCCGTCTGAATTTAATTACTGATATTTGAATAAACAAAAGGAAAACTGAATTCTGTTGATTATTATAGTATTTTATGAATGTTTGATCAAATGACTTGAAACTTTAATTATACAGCATCCTGATCGATTTGTGTTGATTCATATTGACCATATTGGGTGGTTGAAATCACTTTCAGTGTGTGAATTACAGGACTTTTGGCTCATATTTAGTTCATGATATTGGATTGTTTTGGAATTTTTTTTTTTGTTATGGGTTGTGGTTATGTGGTCATATTTTAACATAATGCAACTTTTGTATTGACTATTCACGGTGGTTGAAATCACTGCCAGTCTGCTGGTGTGAGAATTGTAGGACTTATAGCCTTTTTCACCCCATGTATAGTTTAATATGTTGGATCGTTCTGAGAAGAGATTAGTGTATACTGGGTTGAGTTTCTCATCTCCTTGATGGTTTGCTTGGTTGAACTTGTCTTTTTTCCGCTTTCAACTCTTACTTTCTTATGCAGGTTTCAGGATTGGAGCTCAGAGATATCCTTCAGTTCAGAGCAGCAATGCTCCAATGAATACGGATTTTACGCAAGAAAGGTCAAACCAACTTTAAATTCAGTTTGGGATTTTATCCGACGAGGGTGGAATATGGGTTCAGAGAGGACTAGAAGCCTAACGAAAACAGCGAGATTCTACTCTAGGGGTGCGCGCCCAGCAAAAGAACCAGGACCTAAAACGAAGATCCTTGATCCACAGGGTCCATTTCTCCAGAAATGGAACAAATTTTTTTGATTGTTTGTGTGCTTGCAGTGGCTATAGACCCCTTATTCTTTTACATTCCGTGGGTTAATGGCACTGCCAAAGATAAATGCCTTGATGTGGACCATAAGATGGAAGCTGCTGCTTGCGTTCTGCGTACAATCATTGATGTATTGTACACACTTCGCATAGCCTTTCAATTCCGGACTGGGTTTATAGCCCCTTCTTCTCGCGTATTCGGAAGGGGTGAGTTGGTTGAGGATCCTAAAGTCATAGCCAAAAAATATTTGACCTCCTACTTTATCGTTGATATTCTAGCAATTCTTCCACTTCCTCAGGTATGCTTTCCTTCTTTAGTTAATTTGCATTAAGAATCGATCATTGCTGACTCCAGCTTTAACATAGTCGCAGGAATGAAGAGAACTTATGAAAAGATGTAACTCGACCTGTAACTTATACTTGCTAGGGGAGAGGATGCCTAAAATTGCATGCTTAACATTGATTCTCTTCCTGAAACTTAATATTTCTATTAAACAGTTTTGTTTCATCTGAGTGTTCCCGCCCTCTCTTTTAACATGACATCTTGATAGATTTTTATTGAACTTGCTCTATCACAATTCTTCATTATTATCACTGGCAAAACTGATTCTTAACTCGCATTTGAAATCTTAATGCATGTATTTAGATGAACAAACATGGAAAAAAATGACCAGGAGCAAATTTGTTGACTATTTCTAATGTGAAACTCGTATAGATGATTCTTTCTTTCTTGCAAAAATCATTCACTCTCAACTGGTGTAGGCTTTAGCAATTTGACGTATTATGCTTGTTCGCTCAGGTAGTTGTTTTAATCATCCTTCCATCAGTTGATGGCCCGGTTGCATTGGCTGCAAAAAACTTATTTGAGCTTATAATATTCTCCCAATACATACCAAGACTTGTTCGAATCTATCCACTGTTCAAAGAAATAACTAGAACTTCTGGCATACTCACTGAAACTGCATGGGCGGGAGCTGTTTTCAATCTCTTTCTCTACATGCTTGCCAGTCATGTAAGTTGAATTTGATACTTCACAATCTTTAACATTCTTCTGGTGTATTATAGTGGATTTTTTATGGAAAAAAAAAATTGTGACATGCCAGATAATTGGAGCCTTTTGGTACTTGTTCTCCATTGAACGAGAAGATACGTGCTGGCGTGATGTGTGTAAGGACCATGAAGGGTGTGATGCTAATCACTGGTACTGTGGAAAACATCGTCAAGAAAACTACACAATATTCCTGACTCAGTCATGCCCTTTTATCCAACCTGATCAAATTCAAAACTCAACGGTCTTCAATTTTGGTATATTTATTGATGCTCTTGATTCTGGAGTGGTGGAATCAACTTACTTTGGACGGAAATTCTTTTACTGCTTTTGGTGGGGTTTGCGTAATCTCAGGTTTGTGGACATGGTTGTCTAGTTCAGTCCATAATCAGTTACCATGTTCTCGATTGTATTATTTGATTGCATTCTGCATTGATTCATTCTTAAAAGCTGTTTCAGAATTTTTCCAAAATAGATCTGTAAATTTAAGAATGCGAGGTAGCTATTTGATATCATTAAAAGATTGGCTATCAGGAAATATTGAATATCAGAATGCAATCTGTGGAATTAAACCTTCTAGTTCTTAATTATAGATAAAAGGAGCCATATTAAAATCACCTATTTTAAGCACCTACCATAAGGGTTGGAATTGGACAGCCTGCAGCAGGCCCTGTTTTTATTTGAATTGAATGGAAACATGGTCTGTGGCTTTAAATAAAACAAAGAGAAAGAAGAATATAGTAAACAAATGAAACTATTTACATCTTTATTCTAGCTAAATAAGCTTGCTTCATTTTAAATTAAGCTTTGGTGCTAATGCAGCTTACATATTTTCTTTTTAAATTTCTTTATACAGCTCTCTTGGCCAAAACCTTAAAACGAGCACTTTCACTGGGGAGATTCTCTTTGCCATCTTCATATCCATCGCTGGATTGGTTTTGTTTGCACTGCTTATTGGCAATATGCAGGTAATTCCTTTACATGGCCTTGCAGTGGGAAATAATGGTTAAAACATTGTCCATGTAATGGAATATTTTGATTCTGCAAACTTAGTGTCACAGAGCTGTCCTTTGGTGATTCTGCTGTCCAGCCTGCTGAATACCATACCCTTGAAAAAAACACAAAATGTTTGCCCTTTCTTTCCTTAAAGTGATATATTATCTTGACTTTGCGACTGTCTCTTTTGAGGCCCTCAGTTGATGATTTAAAGCACTAAACAATTATTAATTCCGGTGTCACAGAAATATCTCGAATCCACAACTGTTAGAGTAGAGGAAATGCGAGTGAAAAGGAGAGATGCAGAGCAGTGGATGTCCCACCGAATGCTCCCTGATAACCTGAGGGAACGGATTAGGCGGTATGAACAGTACAAATGGCAAGAAACCAGAGGTGTGGAAGAGCGGGGTATAATTCGTAATCTTCCTAAAGATCTCAGGAGGGACATAAACCGCCATCTTTGCTTGGATCTGCTCAAGAAAGTGAGTGCTTTTCTGAGTCTTTCTTTGCGTTCTAATTTATAGCATTATTGGATTCGCTCAAGATGGGCTAAAATATGCTCTACTTTACCATTTCGCTTTGGGAAGTAACAATATCTAGACTGTTTAACGACTCTTTAGGTGCCAATATTTGAGAAAATGGATGAGCAAATATTAGATGCAGTATGTGATCGTCTCAAGGCAGCTCTTTACACGAAGGATAGCTACATTGTTCGAGAAGGGGACCCAGTCGATGAGATGCAGTTTATCATGCGCGGTCATCTAGTAAGTGTGACCACTAATGGTGGAAGAACTGGTTTTTTCAATGCTGTCTCTCTCAAGGCTGGTGACTTCTGTGGAGAAGGGCTTCTTACATGGGCCCTGGATCCCCAATCCTCCTCCAACCTCCCTATCTCAACTAGAACAGTACAAGCACTATCAGAGGTTGAGGCCTTTGCTCTTGAAGCTGAAGACTTGAAGGCTGTAGCTTCCCAGTTTCGCCGATTACATCACAAGGATATCCAGCACACATTCAGGCAAGTTTTCAAGGATTGTTTCTCCTTTCTTTTCTTCTCCTGTAGAAACAGAGAGAGGCTAGTGTTGGAATATTTCTCCTGCTATCATCCAGGGATGATATAAGCGCATTCTCTCAGATTTATGCAACTGGAACGATAGATTTCTACTTTCCCTATAAGCTACAGTGGCTATTGCAAGTCTGTAACTGACCATTATGCTGAAGTCGCAACTCATATTCGTGAGCTCATTTTGTTTTCAGGTTTTCCTCAGTTCAGTGGAAGACCTGGGCAGCCTGCTTCATACAGGCAGCTTGGCGCCGTCACTGTAGGAGGAAGCAGGCTAAAAGCTTATATCAAGCAGAAGAAAAACTGCAATATTCTTTGACAAACGAGGCCAGTACATCGCCAAGCCTCGGTGTTGCCATTTATGCATCACAGTTTGCTGCCAATGCATTAAGAAATCTGCGGCAGAATGGGACACATGCCACTAGATTGCCGCAAAGATTGTCATTTCTCCCTCAAAAGCCAACGGAGCCTGACTTTTCTGCTTAACATCACAAGTAACAAAACATTTCAAGTGATTCTATCCTAGTTTAGCTTCATATTTGCGAGCTCAAATGTCAGAATCTCGGCATATATATTATGTATATAACACGGATTCAAGCCAGTTTCTAGTGTTCGTTGATTTGAACAGTAATCAAAATTTTGCCCTGAAGCTAACAGGCTTGAAAATGCATGCTGGGATATAGATACAGAGAGTAATAGATTTTATATGTCGTCTTTTTATAGAGCATTAGTGCTGCCAAATATATTAGCGATGACCAAAATGCTGTATGGAGTGAATCTGCTTGTAAGAGTAATGAATCCATTTTTTTAGATAAATTGTTAATGAGGCTATATATACTTCTTATTTATGTAACAATTTCTACCAAAAAATGAAGCATGTGTGTTGAACAAGCACGTTTACATTTCCTCTCCATGATCAGTGGACATAATTGGAGAAAGAGCAAAATTAATTCACTCTCTGTTTCTTATTTTGAGAAGGAAATTCGTGGTATAGGCTAGATTCACATACCCATAATACTTGGAATAAATATGTCTAGGACTCAAACCGTGTTTTATATCGTAACCACCACAATTTCGACAATCATTTTAGGCCTGCATATTTTGTGAGTAAATATAATAACACAAGATGATATTATCAAATTATTGCTGGATACAAATATGAAATTGACATTAATTAGTTTCATTCCTAACAACCGAAAGAAAATAAAAATAAAAAAAGGCATTAACTTCCTTTACAGTGCTCCAGTGTTTTATTCTCCCTTGCTTTTATTTACGTAGAACGGTAGTAGAATTCTTGCTGCAATATGATTTGCTCCACTAGTTCATATATAGCCTGCTGGTATTAATAGCCAAACGCCCTGCTTGGAAAACAAAACAAAAGGAAGAAAACTCAGTATATATACTATATTTCATGCACTGATATATATGATCTGTGGTTGACAGGGGAAAAGTGGAAGGAAATTAATTTAAGAGATAGAAGGATTCACACTTGGAGCAGTCAGTGCTGTTGGTAATAGGAGGAAGATTAAGGGACACCCCACATTTCTTCGGAAGTGAAGGCATGCGAGCGGGATCGTATTTAATCTTGCTTAGCGTATTTTTGAGGCACTCGCATGCATCCTTCTTATCTGATCTGCTTATAATAGAATCGCTAATTTCCTTAACCCCAGCACAACAAGTCTTTGACGGCTCGTTTGATTTGTCACTGATGTAATCGATACAGGGGGTTAACTTCGACACGATTGTCGAGCAGGAAACCTTATTATCATCAGGAGAAGGCATAGCTGGTCTTGAAAGTAACAAAAGAACTAGGGCTAGCAATGCATATAGGTGAGTACTCATTGCTGCTGCTCTGAAAAAAATGAAGTACTTCAGTTTTTGCAATCACAAGGCTAGCTATGATTCATGGTACCTGCAAGTATTTGAATTATATATAGATTGACGCTAGAGGTAGCTCGTGGGATTGACGTTTTGTTTAACTCAGTTTCTCTCTAGTGGCCATGACAGGCTCGTGACCTCTTGCTTCCTTGAGGCACTAAGACAAGGAACTTCTTTGGCAGTGTTTCAAATTGCATATGCATTATATTGTTCATGCATCATCTGTGATAAAATTTACCGCCTCATTTGATAATTTTACACCGTTACGCAGATTATGCATTTGCATTTGCTACGATATCCAGAAAATTACAAATGATGTTGGTTACCCACCTCCATTGATTTTCTTTTATCCTTTTTAGAAAACAGAATCAGAGTTTTGTCTACTCTGTCTTTGATTAAGCACTAAAGGCATTGTCGTTGGATAGGAAATTCATTGTGACTAAATTTGTTGTAGTGTGAATGGGTATTCAAAAACGCTGTAGAAAACGTGAATGTTGCAATGTATTTTTTAAGTCGTTGCAAATTTGTTCGAAAAATTCAACCGAACGTCGTTAAAACCTGCCTCCCATTTTATTTGCCCAAATAGAACCAAATAAATAAATGAAAACAGTACTGAGTTGGGTTTCCATTCAGAGTTTAATCTCCATAAATTTTATAATATAAAAATTAATTAATGATATATACAGATAGCTTACTTTATGGATTCACTTTGAGAAAAGATAAACACATAAAAAAAATTAAAAAAAAATTTATAAACGTCGAAATCTTCTTATAATTTTTTATGGATACAGATTTAATCTTTTTTTTTTTATTTCTCTCGTCAAAATAGATCCATAGAATGAACATTATACATATCACTCGTTATTCTTTATATATTATAAAATTTCTCTTTCATCTGATCTGAACAATTTGCCCTACGAAAAACCAAATAGCTATAGTTGTCAAATCCCATCCAATCACACTGATTCTAAACCTTCGGCCGGGTTGAGTTTACCATCGAACAAGATCAAAATCCGGCTGGATCGGATATTTAAAAAAGAAAAATGACTTGTTTATTTTTTACTGAAAATTAGAAGAACCAGATATATGGATCAACACAAGGAATTATGGGATGACCCAATGACTCGGTAACCCTGGCATTTAGCCTGGTCATGTCCTGGAAACTTTTAAGGGCCACGCATTTATATGCTTTTGGGCCACTAATATTTATCAAAGCCTAAATCTTCTAAACATGATGCTGTCTAAGTCTTAACCCGTGGGTAGTTAGACACGTTTGTGAGCTTTTGGGCCACGACTACTACTAATAGATTTTGTGAGGGTTATTGATTTGTCTGTAGTAACTTGCATCTCTGTTTGAATCTTATATTCATCAAGCTTTGTTAATAACCCAATCAGCACATTAAAATGAACTCCATCAAGTATAGCCTGACAATTATATATTTGATAGTTTTTTTTACAGTAAAACTTGTTTAATTTTCAATAATTTTAATTAATTTAATTATTATATAACAAGGAAAATATGTCTTATTGTTTACCTCAAAACTACCAAACTTTTCCATTACTCCAAAACGAAAAAAAGAAAGTATACTTCTCTATTATCCAGGTGACGGCACAGCCGTATGAAAAGCTAGGTTGTATGCGACTTTCAACTTTTTCTTACATATGCATCTCTGTTGATTATGTTACATTCAAATTATTGATAAGCAGCAATAATGATCAATTCATGATATTTAGATGTGATAGTTTACATACCAAATTAAGAAATTGGTTACTTGTCAGACCAAAAGATCTGAAAGCTTTTGTTATCAAATGAAGGGGAAAAAAATTAACTAAAAATCTGTCCATCTAGTGCTAGGTTCTTCTAATGGATTTTGAAAGAGCGACCAGAAAACCAATTTTTGAGACTCTTAGTCTACTCAAGATAAGTTATACACGGAATATTATATGAGATTATATGATTAATTATTCACTTTCATTAGTTTTGTGCTCGAAACCATCTAACAAAGTCATCACCATATAATTAATTAGACATCCCAAAACCACTAGAAAAATATACCTAATTAATTAATTAACATTAGTTAATAACAATTGGAAACTAACAATTAATATTATATGATATTGAAAAATACAGGCCTTTGATCTTTTTCTTCATCCCCAACAAGAAAGAAAAGAAAAAATGGCATTACTTTATTTAATACTTTTATCATCCTCCATTTTCAGAATATTTGTTAAGTCATTGGTCTTTTTTAGGATTTTGATACTATATATAGAATTTGACTGTTGCGATTAGATTATATCCAAAAAAAAAAAACTTAAGTTTTACAATAAGCGGCTCACTATCAACTTTATATATTACTTATTTATTTACAGTCTATTTTTTAGAATATATTAAATATTTTGGATTTCAAAATTTTCATTAGATCATTGGACCTTTTTGAAGTTCCGATATTATATTAAATTAGATAATTGAAAATGAACATCCATCATAAAATTTAGATCTTTAAAAAAAAAATTGCAATTATCTAATTCAATACTACTATAAACTACTTCATGCACTAGTAAATGTCATGACCCTCGAAGTGAGCCATGATCGGTACGAGAATCAAGGGAATCGAAATGTCTATTTTGACTCAAGCAAGCCTCGAATATTTAAACTATAATCCTTAAACCATTTGCACGTCAAACATCATTTCAATTTACAATATCTCAACCTAATAGCCATTACTTTATAACTCCAATACAAATGATAATTTTATAATATTCTTGCATTTTTCAAAATTATATCCATAATCAATTTCTAATACAACTCCCACAAGATATAACCGCAAAGTTTCTAAGAATACAATAAAATTAAATTGCAAGTCTAAAAGATTACAAGTAAATAAGCCGCACGATTAATATGTCGATTTCAAAACAACGACTTTATAGAAGCAAAAAGTAAGCTCACAAACCTTGTAAAACTGAAATAGTAGAGTTTAAGCAATCAACAACTCTATGAGTAGATATTATATAATATAATAACAAAAAAAAAAATAGACTAAGGATGATAACTTAAAATTTGACTCAAGATGCAATGCTCATTTTTCCAAACCAAATGCATATCCTAAATTATCGAATCCTAAATGGTTCAAAAACCAATTCGCATCAAATCATCAAAACACACACACACACACACTCAAATCAAATCAAACATCCGAATTAAACTTGAGGTGAAAAACATAACGTATCATTGGATACGAATACCCAAAGGCTATACCACCCGTAGTTAGGTTTTCGTATATTGGTCGATACACGAGCTAACACTATACCTCTCCTGCTAGCTAAAGTGTTGCATATCATTAAGCTCAAAGGCTACGCTCCCCATAGCTAGGTACCCCAAGGTAACCAAATTATATCGAAATCACATAAACTTATGCATATTCCAAAATATCCAAATCCAATATCACAAATACAATGCATGCTCAAAATTAGATTTGATAGTGCAATTCAATATCAAATAAACATTAATAAAAATCATATAAATAATCAAAATATCAGTCTAAGGTAAATTAATATTTAAATCCATAATTACATATCAAACCATAAACAAAACGCTTGTTCAAACATATATTTAAATCCCTTTTTAAATCATATCAAATCACTTTTGATATGAAACCATTTCAATTACTTAAGGGTTCGTTCTGTCTAAGTTCTAATGAATGTGCTAAAATCATAAATAAATCGATGATGCATGGTAGATATATTAAAAGAATTTAAAAGCATAACATGTTATATACTATCCCTTCACAAGTGTAAATGAAGGATCAAATGGAATCAAGGTTGTTCGATGGATCCGTCCGCTTTGAAGAATCTAATAACACAAGATGGTGGAATAACCATCAATACCACATATCGAAGAATAATTCAAAACAAATGGATTATTCTAGAAATATGGATACAAAATTATCTATAAGAATGGAATTGACCAAAAAGATTCAAACCGATAATTTTAACTAAATTCTTACTCTTTCAATAGATTCTAAGTAATTGCCTAACTAATTCGAGTTCACTCTATAACCTTTCTCCAACAATTCAATTCAACTTTAAACAATCAATTATCAATTAAATTATCAATTCTATTCTAATTTACTCAATACTGATTTTATTCATCTTTAATTGCATTTATATAACTTAATTCTTCATTTTTCCTTAATTCTTCTCAATTCAAAACCCAACTTCAAATTTTTCACTATTCATCATCTTCAACCTTTGTATTAATCAAATTTACTCAATTTAACTTAATAAATCACTAACCTAAAACAATTAGACATAATTCAATGAATTAGAATTACTTAATTAACCTTTTCTCCCGATGGGTATCAAAACCCTAATACTAATCTAATCAAATTCTTCATTTTAACAACAACCCAATAGAATTTAACTTCAACATAATTAATTAATAACTACATATGAACATCCCAATTTAATGATCAAATTTCTTACCTTTGAAAATTGGCCCTTCAACGCCAATTTTAATCCTAATTCTCCAAGCTTTTCAAGCTTCAATCCAATTAAAATTCACTTTAATCAAATTATTTATGGTTTTTCTAAGTTAATTTAATAAGAATTTAACTTAGAATTCGAAAGGGGAATTGGGAGAAAATTAAAGATATTTACGTGAGAAAAAAGGGAAGAAAAAAGAAAAAAATGGAGGACCAAGCAAGCTATCCCGTTTTTATATCCTATCCGATTTTTTTTTAATTACTAATTTAAATATCATTTTAGGATGAGTTATTACATCCTCCTTCCTTAAGAAAATTCTTCCTCAAATTAAATTCTAACCATACCTCGGCAAGTGAACAAGTGAGGATATTTCCTTTTCATTTCTTCCTCGATCTCTCGAGTGGCTTCATCAATCAAATAGTTCCTCCAAATGACCTTAGCAAATACAATTTCCTTATTAAATAATTTATTAACTTTAGTGTAGGTACCTAAGATCCAATCTTATTTGAATGGTTTGTTTTATTGTAATGTTACATTTTTATTTATTAATAAAAGATGTCTTTCTATTAATTCTTGTTATTTAAAATTTGATGAAATTAGATAGAAGTCTATAAGATATGTATTACATTAATGATTAATCAATTGATGTGAGAGGACTATTAAAACACTTATATGATATCATTAAATATCTCAAGTCGTAGCATTATCAAGAATGGATATTGACTATATACGATAAAACTTATGAGTACTATGCTCATGCTACAAGATAAAAGTATGAGATCTCACACATATTGGCATGGTGACATCAAAGCAAGCATTTAGGTGATAAATGTTAGAGAATATATCACCTGGATGTGACTTGCCATGAGACCCTATTTGGTTTAATCTATAAGAATCTCATACGAATGTGCACAACTCGATCCTTTGACTTAAAGTCATCACTATTATCTCATTAGAAGATTTATGTACTTTGACATTCCTTTTAATGGGTTTAGTCAAGAGCTATATGTGAGCGATTCATTTGGTGCACTAGGAATCGAGTAGACATAGGTGAATGACTAAGATAGGACATGTCATTTCTTATATGTTAAAAGAGTTATCACTTGCACTTCAATGAATATTTGTTCAAGGAATCGTAGCCATAGAAGGAGTATACCAATAGAGTATAGTTTGTTTACTCTAGATCTAAGACATTTGAAAATAAAAAAAACTTATATGATCATAATCGAACGTACTTTAAACCAAGTTCGAGATCACACTCGTAATAAATTAATATGAGAACTAAATTGTATGGTAACCATGCTTGTGAAAGATAATTATGGATTAATTAATCCTTCTAGAAAATTGGATAGTCATAAGGTCTTGCTAGAGGCTAATCTTGATTTATATATTAAGAGATAAAAGAAGTGTATTTTATTCTTGATACATTGTCAACATATCTAAGAGCCTATTGAGTCATACGCATTCATATAATAAAAGAGAAATGAAGATTTTGAAAAAAAAATTCTATTTTGAAAAGTCGGTTTCCTATTCTAGAAATCAATTTTCTAATTCGAAATTCAGCTTCAATTTGAAAGACGAGATACTTAAAAGAAAAATTAGTTTTCAAATTTACATTTAAAGGTAATTTGGGAAATTATTTTCCAATGTGGATTTATCCGACCCCAATTTATTTGAATGATCCAAATTAACTCGGTATTTAATTGAAACAAAAGAGTTTGAGCCAATAGGCTTAATTTAAAAGTTTGTAAAATATTTTGGTAGAAGAAAAACTTGAGCACTATTGGATAAGGCTTAAAGTTTACAAGGATAAGATCAAATAAGCCCACACATGTTGTAACTCTTTGTTCTTAGAGGACAAGGAAGCCACCTCCTTATATAAATAAAGAGAGAAAGAGGCGGTACGAAGAGGTTAACAACATAAACGGATAAACGATAATAAG